GGTTTAGGGTTGAGGGTTGAGGGATGAGTGGGCCCATGCTAAGGTCAGGCTTTAGCTGCCCTACTTCGAGTTGCTGTATGCAGCCATACTTCCCTAAGGCTCCGTAAAGAATCCTTTATGGCCTAAGTATATACTGTGGACCCTTATACCCCGAACCTTCACAAGGCACCCTCTAAGGAGCCCCTAAAACCTAAACCCTCAACCCTAAACCCTTAAAGGAGCCCTTGAGGTTCTTTAAAGGAGCCCTTATGGGCACATGGAGCCTTCACGTAGCTACGTCGCCTAAACTTGAAACCCTAAAGCCCCTGAACCGGCATCTGAACCTAATGTAGCGGCCTTAATAACTAGAATAAGGGTTCCTTTAAAGGGATCCTTAAAGGGTTCCATAAGGGATCTATGATAGGGTTCTATCTTAGGGGCCTGAATAATTAGAATAGGGTTTCGGGGCCCACGTACCACTCGCACTCGACTGGGTCAGGCGAGGATCCCAAGATACAACAACAATCGGACGTGGGGTTACTGGTATGTATGGCCGCCCTTCGCGTCCACGACATCAACGTCACATGAAGCACACGGAGCTGGCGGGCAGTGATCAGGGGTGCCGGCAGCACGCAGAGCACCCAACGAAGGCGCCCCACCATTCCAGCAGCCACAGAACCCACTGCACGCGACACTGTTGAGACCAGTTCAGGGCATCCTTTGGAGATGACCGCCCAATGGCCCACGCGCGAATCCAAATACAAGAGGGCCGGAGCTTCCTACATCCGGGAAAAAACCCTGGGAAAAACCCCTCATAAACCTCATAAGCTTTATCGCATCAACCTACAACTGAAGCTGCGAAAGGAAGGAGCTGGCCTTGCCTTGGAAGCTATCTAGGCCCCTATATTGTTAGATGGTATCTAAGGGTTTATTTTAATCCCCAAAAATTGGAAACCGGATTCAAGACAAACAGTGTCGGGATTCCCTATACATTACTAATCAGGAACCCTAAACCCTAAACCCTATACCCTAAACCCTAAACCCTAAACCCTAAACCCTATACCCTAAACCCTATACCCTAAACCCTAAACCCTATACCCTAAACCCTAAACCTGAGGCTACTGGGTTTCCGACTCTTGGGCTTCGACTGTAGGGGTTCGGAGGTCTGGGGTTCAGCTTGAGGGTTCATTGGTTAGGGCTTATAGGGTTTAGGGCCCAGGCCTTCGGGCTTAGGGTTTAGGGTTTAGGGCTAGGGGTTTAAGGTTTAGGGTTTAGGGTTTAGGGTTTAGGGTTAGGGTTTAGGGGAAAGAGCTACGGGTTTAGGGTTCAGGGTTTTTGGTTTATAGGGTTTAGGTTTTAAGGTTTACAGGGTTTAGGGTTTAGGATTTAGGGTTGATAGGTTTAGGGGTTGGGGGCTTAGGGCCCAAGCTTGGACCCAAAGCCGGAATAGAAAAGAGACGAGGAAGAGGGCGGCCCAACACGTTCGAGCCCTATGCCCGAGCGATGCTAACCTTCGCAAACCCAACACCCCAGACTTGCTGCACCAATGCCCAGGCCAAAACCAGCTAGAAGTTTCAGGATAGCGTACATGTTAACTAGAAGAACCGAGAAACTCTTGAAACCCTATACCCAAAATCCTAAACCCTAAACCCTGAAACTGAATGCTGAACCCTAAATCCATAAATCCAGAAGCCAAGTCACTTGGCTCGCCGACAGGTTCGCGCAGTCACTCACCGTTACCATGATCTCCTGGCTTTCGAGTCGAAACGACTTTGTGTTTCTTCTGTAGAGTTCCGTTTAGGGTGTTTAGGGCTTAGGGTTGAGCCCTTAGAAATAAACCTAAAGCCCAAGGAAAAGACGAGGCTCGATGAGTACAGAACATGTCTTTTCTGAGGGCCGCAGGCTGTAGAGTTTAGGGTTTCGGGTCGCAGAACACCGTCCACGGCTTTGAAAGGGTTCAGTGAACTGAAAAAAAGTGTACAAGCCCTTTTCGGGGGCTTCTTCGACATTGCGAAATATGTTGGGAGGACCGTACTTTATGCATCCCGTTATGTAGGGTCTACATCGTTCTTTTTATTGGGCTCTCTTGGCACCTTGAACCCTAAACCCTTACCGTAAGCCCCTTAATCCTGAACCCCTTAAGCCTAAACCCCTACACCCCTAAACCCTAAACTCTGAACCCCAAACCCCCAAACTCTAAACCCCAAACCAAAGCCCAAAAACCCAAAACCCCAAAACCCCCAAACTCCAAATACCCGTTTAAACCTTGCGCTGCTGGCGCCGGCACTACGTAGAAACTCCGAGCTCGCAACTACAGCTCAGCCGTGTGCTGGTGTCTACAAGCGGGATGCATCAAATTGGGGAGAAAAACCCTAAACCCCAAACCCTAAACCATCCTAAACCCCTACACCCTAAACCCAAACCCCTATAGCCTGAACCGCTTTTAAACCCGAAGCCCTAAACACCCACAAACCCTAAGCAGCGATGCACGTTTCAATCCCAGTCTCCCCTACGATGATGTCCGGGGGCAGCGTCGTGGTGGTGGTCGTTGACGCACGCACAACCTGGCTGCCGTCGAGCTCTTGTGAACCTAAACCCTAAACCCTAAACTCTAAACTCTAAACCCCTTAAACCCTAAACCCAAAACCCTAAACCCCTAAACCCTAAACCCTAAGTTACACCCATGGCTACGAAGTCGCCTTAAATCCCGACTTCCTAAATCCTGACAAGAAGCAACACAAATAATAAAGGGGCCTTAATTGTTTACCAACACTCGCTCTTCCGCCTCGCGAACGTCAGAGCTGATAGGGGGCTTCGTAATTAAAATAGGGTTTTGGGGCCCATTATACTGTGATTCTAAAAAAACCACCAAAAATAGTGTAGGTAATTATTTACGCCCCCAGATTAAGACCGCGAAAAAAAGTCCACACAAACAGCATGCAGAACGTCTTAAACCTTGTCAGATAAACTCATACATCAACATGTGCTTCATAATCCCGTATATTGCGGCTGATCATATCTTCACATAACAAGGACTGAATCCTGCAGAAAGCCAATAATAACACTCTAAACTTTCCTAAACCCTGAAACTAAACCGTAAAGAACCCCAAAGGGAACCCTTAAACACTAAACAAAAAGGAGAGACCCTAAACCCTAAACCCTAAACCCTAAACCCTAAACCCTTATTTTTTTTGTCTATATAATCAAGCCCTAACCCTGGACCCTAAACCCCTAAACCCTAAACACTAAATTCCTCCCTTAACCTATAAAGCCCTAAAGCCCTAAAGCCCTAAACCCCTAAAGCCCACAGAGTATATGATTGCGTAGGCACGGAACACTTGAGATCGGGGCCTGACTGGGACGCCGTCAACACGCTATCTGGTGCACAGTTGCTTGGTGGCCTTTTTGGTGAACCCAAGGAACTGAAACCTTTCCAAGAACAGTTGCACAAACTTGATCAGATGTATGTGAATGCTGTGGATGATGATGGTTGCAGAAAACATTATTTCACAGATGGTTCAGCCTTTGACCCGGGAGACCGGCTTGGGTTGGTATGTTCATGGGCGGTCACGGAGGCGCAGGTGACTTCAAATGTCAACCAGGTACGTGCAGGTGGCTTGCTCCCGGGAAGGCGACAAACTGTATTCCGTGCTGAACTCCACGCTGTTAACATGGCGATCTTGCTTAGCAGGAAGGCAACCATTTTTTCTGACAATGAGGCAACTGTTAGGAGAGTAAATCAGATCATTGCTGGTAATTTCTCTGATGTGGCCCTCATGCAGCACCCGGACAGAGATTTGCTTTCTACTACTCGACGCCTTATACAGGGGAGAGCACATGATGACATTCAGGTGTTTTGGGTGAAGTCGCATAGAGAGCTTTATGAGGCTGTTGGATGTTACGATCTTTGGTGCATTTTTCACAACCAGAAAGCAGATGTGGCGGCCAAATCCTTTGGACTACAAATGCCTGATGAACTTAGAACGGCGCAGCATGGTCTCCTCGATGTCATTCGTGCAACTAAGATGGCAAGATGTTCTTCTGCAAAATTTCTTCGAGCGGTTATGGATGAGTACCTGGAAGATGCATGATCTTTTTCTCTTGAGAGTGTGCAGTCCTTTACTTTAATTACCTCGCATGCCCCAGCAACATGCTATGTGGCGGTTTCACGCGCACGCTGGACTCCGCCAATACCAGATGAACCCTAAAGCCCTAAGCCCTAAACCCCAACTTAGCGCCTGCAGCTCATAGCCGGTGTAGATAGCGCTGTCGGCCACGGAGAACGCTTGGACCAGGATCGTCGTGACGGCCGGCCTTTGCAGGAGTGGGTGTTGAAAAAAAAAATGAGGGTTTAGGGTTTAGGGTTAAGCGTTCAGGTTTTTGGGTTTGGGTTTGGGTTTAAGGGCCTAAATCTTGTGCAGGAGTGCGTGGCAAAAACGGTTGCAGGGCTTCGGGCTTTCGGGTTTAAGGATTTCGAATGCCAAAACCCAAACCGTCCTTCCTAAACCCTAAACCCTAAACCCTCAACCCCAAAGCCCTAAACCGTGAACCCTAAAGCCCCAAAACCCTAAACCCTAAACCCCAAAACCCTAAAGCAAGCCCTTCATGCCTCCGAGCTTCAGGCGCGGAGGATGATCTTCTTTGCTTACTTGGAGGATCATGGGACTTAGTAAGTAAGGTTATAGCTACCTTAATTGGGCTTAGAACTACTTATAAGTATAGTTACCTCATTTATAACCCTAGTTACTAAGTCCTATGATCCTCCAAGTAAAACAATGTGCCGTTGAGGGCCCTTCTCAAGGAGAGGAGTCCTAGCATCTAGGGTTTTAGGCTTGCTGAATAAAAGGAGCCACAGGGTTTAGGGCTTAGGGCTGGCGCTTCGGATTTTTGGGGGCTCTGGGGTGCCGGAGACTTAGGATTCAAAAATGGGCTTGGATGGTTTATGGTTTAGGGTTTAGGGTTTAGGGACTTAGGATTCAAAAATATGGGTTTGGGGCTTCAGAAGTTGCGTTGTAAGGTTTAAAGTTTAGAGTTCAACCCCTAAACCCTAAACCCTAAACCGCTAAACCCCTGAACCCTAGGGTTTAGGGTTTAGGGTTTAGGGTTAAGGTTCAGGCTTGTGATTTTCACACATTAAGTGAGGCTTCTATGTGCAGACTTCGTCCTACAGCACATTGATAGAAGCTTCACAAACAAAGCTTGCAGTGTCCCTGGCTCCAACTTGCATTCATGTTGTTCAAAGCTGGTTTGGAATTTGTCTTGGGTAAGAATAGGACTTTAACAAGAGGGTCGGCGCTATGTTCCACGAATCCATCTAATTTATCCAGTTGCAAATAAGCATGTGACTAAAAGGGATATCCCTCACACGAATTTTCAATCCGTGAAACTCACATGCCGCCATGTGACTCCACCGGAATCGCAAGATCTTGCGACGTGCCACTGGAGTCCTCCAACAGCTTGCTGAGGGTCTATCATGTGCGAGGCGTCGGAAATCAGGATTCAAATTTGATGTAGAGGTCTACAGAAATGCCAAAACTATTTTGGGGACCCCTTATCAGACTTATAGTATTTTGGGGACCCCTTATCAGAATTATAGTATTTTGGGGACCCCCTTATCAGAAGTATAGTATAATATACCCCCCAAACCATATTCTAATCATTAAGGCCCCTAGGGGCTGAGGGATTTCTGGCTTGAAAGCTTTGGGGGCTTCCAAACACCTGAAGTTCGTCGAACCTACTTACAAAAACGGTTTAGGGTTTAGGGTCTAGGGTTTAGGGTTTAGGGTTTAGGGTTTAGGGTTTAGGGGTTATGGTCTAGGGTTGTTTTTTTAAAGTGCAGTGCGCCCCTTTTCTGTCTAGGGTTTAGGGTTTAGGGTTTAGGGTTTAGGGCTTTTAGGGTTTAGGGAAAACTACTTTCTACATCCCGTATCAGTGCAGCAACGTACAAACGTGCAAAACGATGGTTTTAGATCCCAAGTGTGTGGGGGATTGCAAAATATCTCAAAGCCCTTAATTAAACCCATTGCCTCAAAATCAAAAACCGTGACCCCTGAATTCTCAACCCCTAAACCAACCCTGAACCCTTAACCCCTAAATCCCTAAACCCCTGAACCCTGCACCCCACACCTAATTCCCTAAATTCTATACCCTGAACCCTAAAACCCTAAACCCTAAACCGTAAACCCTAAACCCTAAACCCTTAACCCTGAATG